CGGGCGGGTCGTACAGGTGGATCAGGTCCGTCTCCTCCACCTCTTCAGTATCAGTAGTGGTCAGGAGAAGCGGCAGCGACTCGCGGGGCTCATTCTCATCCAAATGAGAGTTTGACTGGTGTTGACGATTCCACGGCCTCTTCGGGGTTTTTACGCCAAACCAGTGGAGTATCTTATCCCCCAAGTCCACCCCGTAGTCGCGGCGGTACTTATAGTACTCGTGGGTCTCTTCAAGGAACAAAAACCCGATCGCCATCAGTATCCACAAAAGCATCGCCACCACGATATTCAGCATCGCATAAGGATATTTACGATCGGGAACATAGTCTGGGTCGTCATAGGGACTGTGCGGTGACGGCTGGGCGAAATAGCCCCCCAACATTGGTCCAATCACCGCGCCCAAATTGAAGAAAAGAGGCATCACCAGGAACGCTAGCGGCTGGTGGCGCTTCTCCGTAGCCACCTCGCCAATCATCGTCCGGAGCACAGCAACATTACCATTAAGACACCCCATGAGACTGCGCAGGGCAAGCGCCATCCAGTAGGTGGTGGAGAAGCCAAACAAAAGCATCAGCACCAGCGTCCCCGCCTGGCCAAGCAAAAGAACGGGTTTGCGGCCGATTCTATCGGCTAGCTTCCCCCAGCGGACAGCAAATATAAACTGGCAAAACAGAAACAGCGCCGCTAAGTACCCCAGGTATCTCAGGATATCGGCTTCAGTCGGGGCGATGTGGAAGTCTCTGATCATGAAATAGACATAGGGAAACAACAGCAGGAAGGCGATCGGCTCCGTGATACGGAGTATTGATATTACCGCCATCTGGGCCGCGGGGAACCCCGCCATCTGTCGTCTCCACGCCAGCAGCATTGAGTAAAGTCGACAGCGCGATAAGGAAAGATCGCTTATGTCAACAAAACAGATAGCCGCAAACACAGAATGGGACACTAAATGGACTTAAGGTGGCATCATCGTGAAGCTAGCAACTGTCAGAAGTGATCAGTGAATTTATTATTGTCAGTATTTGGTCATAAATTCGAAGATTAGCCCCCTGTAAGTTGACAGGGGGGTACCACGTTGTCGCATACCGTTTTGTACGATTGTCATCGATCGATTGTTGTCGATCTCATCCAGATTTGTGGCCGACACCGTTGCGCTGGGTGGCCAAACGTGGGGGCATATCAATATAGCGTGTTGCGGCCAGTCAGATGACGTCTTACTTAGGATACTGTCAGATTGATACAAATAAAAATATACTCGAAAAGATGTTAATTGCAAACTCAAATCTATAGAGATATAATTGATTCGATAGCTGATTCGGGTTAGTTTAACAGATCCAGTTTATTCACATTGGCGATAATTGCTAAGAAATTCCAATGGCGGGTGCCATAGCTAATATCACGCCTCGTAGCTGACGTTGAAGGTTTTAGCTTATTTTTGAATTGGCGAAAGCTGTTGTTGCTAGAACCAATTAGTGATTGTTTTATCGGTTGGTGGCAGAGGGGGAGTGATTAGCTTGATTGGTTTTATCGTTGTTGCTAGATCCAATCAATGACGTTGACTGTTCCTTGCAAGGACTAACTCATTCAACTTTAAATACCGATATATGTGCTATTATCAAATTACTATATATATTAAATGGTTGCCACGGCGCGTGGTCTATTCATGCTTGCTGGAGGTGCCCTCGTTGTACTGGGGGAGCTCGCTGTAGCCGCCGCGCTTCTTCTTCAGCGTCCACGGCAACTTCTTCTTCAACGTCTTTTCGCGGGCGAAGTTGCGCCGCTTCAAACCAGACAAGTCCGTCTGCTTGCGGTTGATGAACACAAACAAGTACATCCCCAACGCCGCGATCATCACGCAAGTGGGGATCGCCATAATCACGTAGTACTTCTCGTAGTGGTCCTCGTCCTCGTCGTGGATCCCCAAGTACCGGTTCGCCTGCTTCTGCTCCAAGGTGTCGATATCCTTATAGTTCTTCTTGTCGACCCGGGTCTTGCGGCGGATGGGGATCACCACGTACCTGTGCATGGAGTTAAAGTCTTCGTCGGTGGTGTAATCAGGCTGGATCAGGATCAAAATCGACCGCTGTTCTTCTTTACCCAACCACTCTTCCTGGATTTCGAGCGGGTACCATCCCCGGGTGTTCAGGACCCATTCCGACGAGAAGAACGGCACCGCCGCCGCCTTGCCGCCAGCCTCGATCTCCCGCGCCCGTTTAGTCAATCTGTTCACCGTCAGCTCGTAGGTGCTCTTGACGGTGTCGATAAGGTCCCGCTTCATCCCCTTGCGCCGCGCCGCCTGCTTCACCGCACTTAAGTGTATTCTGACCTTTTTGGCCTGTTCAAAGTCGTTTTCATCATCCTTGAAGAAACCCGAGTACCAGGTGACGAAATAGGTGCGGTTGACCAAGTAGGGCTTGTTTTCCTCGACGGGGTTGCAGAAGGGCTCCGTCGACTTATCCTTAGCTACCCCCTTCTTGCCGTATCTTTCGGGGGTACACCGGAGCAACGGGTCAAACATGTGTTCCCTCTCGTCCTCCTCGGCGTGGGTGTCGATAATATGGGTTTCACCATTGACTTCGTGGGTTTCCTGGGTGGGAGTGGCGAACCACGTCCCGTAGGTAGGGTACCCCTTTTTCACACCATCGCCACCACGCTTGGGCGTCACCGTCTTCGGTTCCCCTTGCTTATTAAGCGAGATCCAGGGGGCAAGGTCGGCGTTCACTTTCGGCGGCTTATTATAAAAAGTCACCAGGGCAATCACCACCGGCGTGATGATCTCCTTCTCCCCCTCGCTGTTGGTATAGATCCACGGCTTGGGGACGTCTTCCTCCAGCAGCTTGCCGTCCTGGATCATCAGTTTTTGCTCCTTCAACTTCTGGAAGTCCTTATTGACCTTGGCTTCCCGGCCTCTTTTGGCTAAGTCGTAATCGTCGTAAACCTCGGGGGCAGCGGTGATGGCGGAGAGCGCGTCTTGCGTCGCCAGTGTCGGCAACGTGGCACACGCGGCGTGGCCTAAACACACGGCGACCAGGGTCCAGTGGCTCCACTTCATCGTGAGTTGTGGTGTATGTGTGTATAGATCTCAGAGATGAGAGCGCGGCCCGATCCCGTGCGGGATTAATTCCGGCAAAAATTGCCGACACCCGGAGCCCCGTACCCGGTATGGAAGACAGAGAATAGAGATGGTTTACTCGATGATTTCTTTCCTGATTTCGCTTGATTCTACCGCTTGGCTCGTGTCTGTCTCGCGGGTGGGCGACTCGCGGCAAAGGGCAACTATACAGTGCTTTTTTTTCTGGTTCCCGTGCCCACAACTCCGTGGAACCTTCGGATAGAATATTGTAGTTGTGAAACCAACCCTTAATTAATTCCAACCAGAAAGAGGCTCTGGTAGTTTGTAACTTTAAGTTTCACTTGTAGTTTAAGAGATTGATGAGATTTCTATCCCATCTTAGCATCTCAACCTCACTACAAGAGTGTTAATCACTTACATGACGTATACCACAGCCTTGCTTGTCTTCCAATTCTGATATCGTGTCATTGTTACCATTGTTATTTACATTAATTCTTGTAACCCTAAACGTATTGGCCGAGGGCGTAGCGGATTTCGTTAGTCAACGAGGGACGTTCAAGGCCTTGTGGTCCTCTAATCAGCCTCAGGTCGCCCTCCCACAGTTTCGCCAGCGTCTGAGCTTGGCTCACAAGATCAGCATACTTATTGTTTAAGTAAGTAGCGGCAAATTGATCAGGAAGATCGGGATTGGTCAAGCTCTGGATATACGCCACCAAGAGCGGGAACACCACCTTCAGTTCAGCCGCATCCTTCAACGGAGTAAGGATTTCGTCGAGTAAGTGTAAGCACTTAGCAGCGTTATTAGCCTCTTTCAAGGCCGCTTTTGTTTGTGATTTTTTCACCAATTGACGTTCGTGGAGACGAGACATCGCCGGGAGTTGTTTTTCGTCTTCTTCAACGATTTCGTCGTCGTTATCGTCGTTGACGTACTCAGTGGGTCCCACCACGTCAAACGAGAAGAACCCGCCTTTATTCGTCGATAACCCAGCGTACTGAGCCTGGTGCTGCGCCCAACCGTAAAATTGAAGCGGCTGGTTGTACATCATCGGGAACGGGAAGTAGCGGGCAAACTGCTTGCGGGTGTACCCTTCGTAGTTGCGGCTGTTGATGAAGTAGACGTAATTCGCCACCGCCAGCATCTTGTCCAACAAAAGGTGGACCAACGCCCGCTGTTCAAGGGTGAATTTGAGCCCTAGCTGGGTGGCAATCGCCACGTACCCTTGGTAGCGGTTGGTATCGGAGATCATCACCGGAAGCTCCCCCACGCTCAGAAGATTGGTATTGTTGGCAGCGACGACGTCAGTGGCACCGTCAGCTAGCCACACAGCCGCTTGGCACTCGGGGAAGATGGCACTGACCCCGGCATCACTACCCCAGATATATAGCGTCGTCATGTCGCACACCAACCCATCGAAGATGTGAAAGTAGCAGTAAGCTGGATCGGCAATTCTTTACCATACTTGCTACAATAGAAATTGTATAACGACGATACCATAATTGGAGATTGATTTTTAGCGAGGTTGAAGAGTGACCCTCGTTGCTTTTTACTATTCACCAAGAGACCTCATATGAAGTGGTTGAGGGCGTCTATTATATGAATTCAAGGAGCATCAAATGCAACATTGGAGGGCATCAATTAACTCATACTTTACGACTTAGTGTCAGCAAAATATACCTCTCATCGCTTCTACAATTGTGGAAGAAACGTTAGGTAGGAAATGTTCTCATATATTCGTAGTTATCATACACACACACTTACATTTCCACATTGAGGAATCTCTGTTTGTAAGTTTTATAAATTTCGTAACACTTTTCCTCAAGTGACGCCCAAGTGGTGATCAACTTCGCCAACACTGGCAGTTGTGTCAAAGGAAGGCGGCGGAAATTAAGGCCAATCAAGTAGAGGGTGCCCTTTTCGTTGTGAGTACATGTTTCGTACCAGGCGGAGTTTTTCTTGACGTTGTAACGCTCCGTCGTCAATTGTTTGCGGGGCACAATAGCAGGGTATTGTTTCAGCAATCTCACCCGACTGTCGAAGGGCCGACTTTCATGAACAATAAACGATTCTCTCGTGCCATCGGGGGCGTACGATGCTTTCAAGTCAAATGCGAAGCCTTTGTCATCGACCACCTTGAGCGTCCCGGTGCCACTTACTGAAATAGAGCTCCACGGAACCCGCATTTTGTGAGCCTTTTTCTTCTTCTTGAAGTCGCTCAATACAGTCTGCGACACAACCACTGGCGGGTGGTCATTAGTGGCGATAAAAGCCATGGGACCTCTCGACTCAATCTTCTTGAAAACAAGGTCGCGACAGACCGCGTACATCTCAAGGAGTATTTCGTGATAAAGTCTGGCTGATCTGTCAACATCGGCGGACTTGTCTGACTTAAATGCCTTATAGATGGATTCCACTGCTTGGTCGATAGCCTTAGTCGTGTCAGAAACGGTATCAAAAGGGTACTTGCGAAATGCTTCGAGTTTCAGACGGAGCAAGTTCCTCAAACTAGTCTTGAATGAAGCAGCATTTGCAACGATTTCCTCGTCAGCGTAAATTATAAGTACCTCTGCAAATGCGTCGAAACGGAGTTTGAAGTATTCGCTGACAGACTGAAGTCGCCTGCTGCCAAAAAAGGCAGACCAATTTCTGCCAAGTGTCATCGCCGCAGTGTCGGCATTGTCACCGGAACCAGGTTGGGCTTGCAACGTTGTATCCTCTGACAATTCTTTATCAGGGATATTTGCATTATCAGGATTCTTCGGGGGCGCATCACCAGTAAGGGCCATTTGTAATAATTTCGACGGAGAGGCTGGCTTGTAACTCTCCCATTCCATGTCGACGGTACGTTCAGCGGCATTGATGTTTGGTGGTGGCGGAGTTGGTGGCTTCACGTATAGTTCAGCCAAGTGGTGGGCCTTCCACTTATTCACTTCTTCATCGGTGGAGCAGATAAACCGTGGTAAAATGTTCAAAACCAACATTATTTGTCCCCGCAATAAGCCCCTGGTAAGTTCATCAGTACTGTCAAGAGTAATACACTGGTTCTTGAAATGCAAGATTTGATTAAGCACCATTTTAAGTGATGAGGGGCATGATTTATACTTGCTGAATAGCTTGTACACCGCCAAGCCAATAAATTCAGGCTTCCAGTAGTTTGACACTTTGTATAACTTCTTCAAAAACTCCACAGCACGATCGCTAAATGGGTTGTGGAGGATAGGGTCATTTTCATCAAATTCACAACTCCTCTCAAGCTGGGCAAGGTATACGTCCATCAATCTGGCCACCACCATCTGCATCGGCTCACCGGGTCTGATTATCTCGGTAATATTCACAGATGCCAGTGCCATGGTAGCGATGAACTCGTCAGCACTCCCAAAAGCGTCAGCTCGGTACGCCTCGAGCTCCATTCGATAAAGAAAAGAATCAGACTCTTCGACGGCTGTCAAAGATAATGGTGACACGACTTCATCTTCGGCGGAACGCTCCCCCGACTCCATAGCAAGCCAAGCAGCACGCTGGGCCATGAGTTCTTGTTCATCCTCCGACGATTCTGGCTCGGTCTCAACCACCATCCTGTTATCAATAGACTTGAAATTGTGTTCTCAGCGGCCCATCGAAGCGTTAAGTACATTTCATATAAATGTAAAGTTAGGCTTCCAAAGTTAAACTTTCCTGGTTAAACTTCTTTAGCTCAGGAAGGCAAGTCCAACCCAGGTGCACCGTTATTGCAGCCATGCTCACAATTGACTCAATTATTGACTCAATTTGAAGCTAATCGTATTCAATCAATGAGTTTTTCACTTCAATCATACACATCCATTAACTCATGGTCCTGCTTCAATTGACGATCAATATACCTCCACAATATAGTTTAAGCTTCAACTGAGACGGTCATGTGTTTCCTTCACTCTGCACCAAACTCTATTGTTTTCAGTAGTCACGTATAATGCAATTCTCTGTAATTTCCAATGTGAGTGGCGACCCCGCGGCATAAGCCCAATTCATTGTCTCAGACTTGAAGGCTGTTAAATAACAGGATACTTGAATCGTCAACCAACCCAACAAAATTCAGTAGAAAACCACCTCATCTTGAAACAATTTTAATGAAAAGACTCACTCCATTTAACGTATTTTTCAACTAGAAACGCTAGTCAGTATTATCGCCTGACCCGCTCCTTCGCACTCATATGGTCGCACTCGCACGAAACCATCACTCACACTACACTCCCTTCCCTTCACCCTTCTGTCGACCCCATTACTCCGGAACAACGCTTGCACGCCGATGTCACGGAACTTGGATGTGATATCCCGGCTCGAGGAAGAGCTTGAGACGCAGCCGCTCGACGTGCCCAAGTGGGAGCGGCTCCTCGCCGCGGTGAAGACCAAGGACAAGGAGGAGCTCGTGTCGCGGGTGTTTGAGCGCTATTTGGACTTGTTCAAGCTGGACGGGAAGCAGTGGTGTGCCTACATCAACTACGAACTTGCTCGTGGTGAGTTTCTGAAGGTAGAGCAGCTTTTCCAGCGGTGTTTGCCCGAGGTGGCCCTGGTGGACGTTCTCCGACTCTACGTGCTGTACGTGCGCCGAGTCAACGACGTCATCACTGGCGGCGACAAGGCGCGGCGGGTGGTGGTGCTGGCGTTTGAATTCGCCGTCAAACTGGTGGGCATCGACACCCATCTGGGCGAGTTGTGGCAGGAATACATCGAGTTCTTGCAGCTGTGGACGCCGACGGCGCTGTGGGAACAGCAGCAGAAGGTCGACAACATCCGTAAGGTGTACCGCCGCATGCTTGCCATCCCCACCACCAATATTGAGCAGTTGTGGGTGCAATACCTGAAATGGGAATCGATGGTGAACCAACCGACGGCGTCGAAGTTTGTCAGCGACCGGCTGGCGGAATACATGGCGGCGCGGCTGTGGAAGACCGAATGGCTGAACCTTACTGGCGACGCCCTCGAGCGCAGCTTGGTGCCTTACCTGCTACATAGTGACAAAAAAGACTGGATAAAAGCTCAGCTAGATCTCTGGCGGCGGTGGGTGGAGTTCGAACGGAAAAACACGTTGGAGCTCAAGGACTCGGTCCAGCTCAACGCCCGTATCGAGTACTGCCTCCGCCAGGCCACCCAGGCCCTTGTGTTTGTACCCCCAGTATGGTTCCACTACGCTAAATGGTTCGCTAGCAATAATGACGATCAACAGGCGAAAGCCATTCTCGTGCAAGCCACTAGACTCAACCCTAAGCTGATGTTGTTAAACTTCCAGCTTGCCGAAGCCCACGAAAAGGACGGCAATTTTGACGCGGCTAAGCAGGTGTACGAGCGCTTGATCAAGGCGTTCAATGACGATTATAATACCGTCAACGAAAAGGTGTTGGACATCGAGAAGAAACTCGCGCCTACGGAACAGGGCGAACCTCCCAAACCTTTGTCTAGAGACGAGCGTGACGAACTCACTCGCCGACGCCAGCGGCGGGAAAAGCTCAAGCGGGAACAGATGCTTGTGTGGTGTAAATACATGACCGCCACTAAGCGGCTGGCAGGAATCAAAGAGGCCCGTTCAGTGTTCAAGCAGGGGAGAAAGGAGTTTGCTGATATTGGCCCGGAATTCTACGTGGAAAACGCTCTTTTGGAACACTACAATGACAACTCCAAAATCGCCATCAAGGTGTTTGACTTGGGCCTCAAGCAATTCCCCAACCACGGCAAGTTCTTATTGGCATATTTGCACTATCTCATCCAGACAAATGATGTGGATAACATTCGCAAGCTTATCCAGCTGGCAGACCTGACGCTTTCCAAGGAAATCACCCAGTTGACGGAGCTGCTCACTGCTCCTGAGATTGCTAAGGATGTTGCTGATGAAACTATGCGTCAAATCAAGGACCGCAGAACCTGGCTTAAGCGTCTTCTCAAGACCTATATCCGCTACGCTCATCAATACTTGCTGATGGATGTCGCCGACTCGTTCATCACAAAGTACGAACAGCTTTTCCCCGACGAGGACTCCATCGACTTATTCACTGACCGCTACAGAGATGACGGCGTCAATCTCATTGTCGAAGAGGAGCTTGACACCAGTGACGATGAGGACGAGTTTGTTGCCAAGCGACGCAAGCCTGCTAAGGAAGCGCAGGCCACTAACAACGGCAGTGCTAACAACCGTGGTGGGCGCAACAGACGCCGCAATGACGGTCCCAACCTCCCCCCTCCTCCTCGAGGATTGACGAGTGCCCCGAGAGAAGAAGAGCCCGAAGAGGACTCGTTTGTCAAACCCAGTGTTGTCAAGCTTCTCAAACAACTACCCAGTGCCCTGTATTTCGGTGAAGGGCCTTACGATGCCAGTCGGTTGGTGCAAATGGTAGCCAACCTCCCTAATGTAAATACGAGCAAATGAGAAAATAAATGAACGCAATTAGTTTTTAGTTTCACAAGTAAAATGAAAAAAAAATAGTATTCGATTAGTTTTAGTATCAGAGTATGTATGTTGTTTAGATCTAATAAAAGAGCAAATTACAAATGAAACAAGACAACGACATGATCTGAACACGCTTGTCGAATGTAGGTTATTCGGTTTCGATGTACGGGGAAATATAATTCAGAAGTGAAAAAATATTGACATCGACGTGATTCGAACACGCGCATCTTACGATAACAGAAACCCNCGACGTGATTCGAACACGCGCATCTTACGATAACAGAAACCCCAACCTCACAGTTGAGAAGCTAAACGCTTGAGTCTGCCGCCTTAGACCACTCGGCCACAATGCCATTTTTGAAAATGTTGTATAGTTTGTTCGGCCTTGGAGGAATACCCCGTCGAAGATACTTACACACCGGTATA